TATCCAAAGCTGCGTTCATACTTTGCGGCAGCGTACGCTAGCGTTTCCAGCGTTCGGCAGCAGCAGTGACAAGGAAAGGATAGGCATCGATCTAGCGTTTGCTTGCGTGCACTAGCGTAGCGTGAGCAAGGAAAGTATAGATATCGAGCGAGCGTTTGCCAGCGGCGGGACTAGAGAGTATGGGAGAGTAGGAGAGTAGCGAAGCGGCTCGATTAGGCGTCGTGGAATTGTGCGGCGTGTGCAACCGCACCGCACTGCTAGACAATACCGTGCTCTGAAATGGTTAAATTGATAATGCTGCATAACGCACAATTGTAAAGGATAAAACAACGTGGGATCATTTAGGATCTTTCATAAGGATGAGCATGTATGTGTCGGCCGTATATTCGTCCAGAGAACGTTCATAAAAGTTATAAAAAATCCCCAAAAAGGAACAACTCCGACAGATCAGCCCTGAAAACCATTATGCTACCTGATAGAGACGAGCGTTCTCATAGTTCAGTTCAATTTCGGTGCGACAATGTAATAAACATTCCAGCAGCTAAACCATAGAATTATGCAATATAACCATCAGTGCGTGATATTGTCTAGCAGTGCGGTGCGGTTGCACACGCCGCACAATTCCACGACGCCTAATCGAGCCGTTCGCTACTCTCCTACTCTCCCATACTCTCTAGTCCCGCCGCTGGCAAACGCTAGTGAAACGCTGGTGACGCTAGGGTACGCTGGCGTACGCTGCCGCAAAGTACTATGAACGCTGCCTAACGTTTCGTAATCTAGCATGGTCATTTATACATCATACAGCAGACTCACTATAGGTTTGCTTGTTGGACACGCTGCCTCAGTTGGATAATTCTGCCATGGGAGAGTCCTCCGTTCCCTGATTGCAACTCCGTTGCTCAGCACTTCCATCGCAAACGTTCCAATTCCTTCAAATATTTTACCACATTCATATGCTTGTCACTCACCACGTGCACAAATTGTGAAAAGCAGTTAAAGGGGAAAACATCGGCTCTCGATCAAGCCCTAATGCGTACGCCATGCATTCATTTTTGTTCAGAATAATGGAACCACTTGAAAGTGTGACTGAATTGCGTAGTGTTATGAGTCCGTGTTCTAATGGGCTCTGCCAATAAGGCGAAGACTTGCATCTCTCAATGGGAAAGAACTCGAAAGATTCTGTTGGCTTCAGTGAGATTCGGTTCCATTGATTACCTCACCTATGAGCTGGTCCAAAACGCGTCGTGCGTCACCCATTTGATTCAACGTGGGAGTTAAAAAAGTCAGAAGTCTTCGCCGTTGATCACCTCGTGGGATGCAGCACGCATTCTACCACCATTCAGAATCATAGTGGCTTACTGTATGTGATGTGGTACCAATTCACTGTCCTCGAAGGGTAGAAAGCTTGGTTGGCCTGAGAAGAAGCCGATCTAGCATCTTATCCCCGGACCGTGCTCGTGGTAAGCGTGCCACTTGTAACTACACCACCTCCGACTAGTGCGAATTATGTCCAATCAATCAGCCACAGGGTGTAAGTAGTAGCTGCACTCTGAAAGAGATAGCTGTCCGAGTGCTCGGAAGTTAGCACGGCAATGGCTGCGGATCTCTACAACTGACAGTGCAGGCAGGTACCGTTGAAAAATGTACATGTTCTCTTGTGCTGTCTACGCTCTCTTATACGTACAATGCCTGCATCTTTGACTGACCAAATCTGTGTCTGGCACCGCCTACAGTTAAGTTTTGGATACATCCGCTCCATAACAGGCATGTGGACGTAGGCTGTGTGCGCGCTGGAGGGCGGCCCTCTTACCCTTTTGCCTTAGTCTCCGCAGCATCCTCTTGATCTTCACTGATGGGTACCCTTTCTAACAAACTAGCCAATACCAGCTGTTCATCGAACAGTAGATACCCACCAATAGAAAAACAGATGGTTGCAATATAGAACCACGTCTTGCACTGCATCGGCGCAATGCCAAAGATTGCTGGATGTTGAAATAGAAGAGCTACGATGGCTGCGAGGAGTACGGTTAAGGATCGAAGGCTCTGGCAGAACGCTTGGGAATTCTGTAAAAAAAGGGGTAACGAGGGCAACAGAGACTGCCATGAACTGTTCGACGAATCAGAGAGGGCACAAACAGGGTACAGCATCGTTTGTGCGAACACATATGCGGGTCGTACTCGGCCGCTGGGAAGGGGTTCATATTTGGTCGTTGCTGCCAGAGGAGAGGGGGATCATGCGTGCCTTTGAGAGAAGTTTCGCGCTTTTCCCGTTTCACATTTTCTATTCACACCTCCCTACCTTACCCCTTCCTTCCGCTCGACGCAAAATTTTTGGTAGTAAGCTGGGAACTTGTAGGAAGTGAGAGGAAAGGTGCGAGAAGGGTGGTGTCGCACCGAGACCCTCTCTAGTGGGGGGGAGGGGTGTTTCTGATGCCAACATTTCACACATCACGATGCCGTACGCTGGGCACAAATAACATATTAACAAACCTGAACTGCTTGCGGACAGCACACTGCAAATACTCCTTTCAAAAGTAACATTACCAACTCAAGAATTGCAAGAATCAGAGCGGTGGCGGTAGTGATGGATATGGAGGGAAGCTGAACACCACTGAATGTTTTCGAGAAGTTGGAACTGGAGGCTAAATCATAAGGTGGAAACAGATCAAATCAGTGATAACCTCGTTTGCTGATTCGAACGTGATATTGTTCACCGCAATCTGACAATGCTCTCCGACATACTTCTCACTGCATGAACAAAATGCCTGAAAACGGGTTTCAAATGGAAACTATAGACGGGGAGACCTGGCATGTAATAAGTATGAAAACATACTCTGTCGATTTCCGAAGTACAGTTGCCGTTCTCTCCACACTCAAGGTGACTCAGTGCGCACTGATTCGGCATTTGTCGGCAGTATGACCCCTTAATTGAGCTTTCCATTATAATGGGAGTAAGAAAGTAGGCTCAAGTAGGAGGAGTATCAGCTGATGAGAGAAGTATTAGGTCCCCCAAGATACAGTAACATTCTCAGAGTTACAAAAGAGGAAAATCTTTCCTCAGCGGGGCCCTTTGGCTAAGCATCATATTTGCAAATTCGAGCTCGTTTGACCGCCCACCCGTTAATAGCGAAATGCTTTCCACATTCGGGAAAGGAGGGAGGAGTATCAGCTGATGAGAGACATATTAGTTCCCTCAAGGTAACAGCAACATTCTCAGAGTTGCGGACGCGGAACAGCTTGGAAAAATTCCAAAGTCGCTCATTTATAGTGGTCATGTGAAATTTTTCTTAACACGTTGAAGCGCCGCGTGAATTGATAATCAATACACCGCAGACTCCCGTTCGCGCGTTCGTGTATTGCATTCAATACACGCGCGCGGAGACGCAGGAAGTCAAAACGGGAGTCGCCGCAAAAACGCCGCGGCGTTCAATGTGTTAAATTACGCATTGAAAACTTCGTTTTTTTTTGCAAAATGCACCTGGAGAATACCGTTTGACAAAGGAGTTTTTGACTGTTGGAACCGTAGAGTAAGTAATACAAAAGACTACCTAAGCAACTGTGAGCGGAAGCGTTACGATGTTGATTTCAGACGGTCACCCACTTACAAGGCGATTCCGATTTGCTGCCCGTCTGGGAGCCGCCCAATGGACGCTGGCCTTCTGTAGTAAAGGACGCTCTGAAAACCGATCTCACTTACCTCCCAGTTTGGTTTACAGACGCAGATGAATCCATGTGGGCCTTTTTCACAAGACGACGTTCCCAATGGATCGCATTGAGAACAAGAACTGAGTGCAATCATTGTGGCTCTGACTTCCTCTTGTTCTTGCAGATGTTCGTTCGCTAAATACAAAATGACGAAATGAACTGACAGAGCGTCACAAGCACCCTCTCGAAATCTTGCTTTCGCTACAGACGCAGGGGCATGCCAGGGGACTGGGGTTGCCACGGCGCCAAGCTGTTCGCCACCTATTTTTGAAGGGGTTAGCGACAACATTTGGTGGAAACGGATTAGCGATGGGCCATAAACACACCTTGAGACACAGCTCAGCGTCTGCAGCGAAAACGACTAAACTGGCCCAAAACTAGCGCCTCGTTTGTTTGTTAGCGTTTGCACGGCGGATTCACCGATAAGATTTCTAGCGATCGTACAAGTGGCGATATCATGCTTTTCGTCCTGCAATCTCATTTCTCCACTGGAAGTCGGTCATTAGGGGCGGAGTCTGGAGGCGGAGTCACTGGGAAAAAAGGAAGGAGCCACTGAACCTATATTCTAATAGAAGGGGCCTACAGCGCCGCATTCCATTAGAATTTTTTGCCGCGAAACCGGTACAAGGTTGTTCGTCGCGGACCACTCTAACCTCCTGACGCCATATTTTCAACTTCGATACCTGATCGCGGACCGTGCTTTTAAAATCCAACAGTGGCAGTGGGAAATTTTGGAGCTGTTCAATACATACCTGTCATCTTGGATAGTGAGCTTTTTGTGGATGTTGTTGATGCTTTGAGAAGAGAAAGAATAATTATATACGATTTCACAACATGCTTAAAGATGGTCATCTGCAAACTACGAAATATGTGTTAGTAGGCACCTAAATTTTGGACAGTAAAAGCTCATAAATCCATTCATATTTTTGAGGTACAACTCGAGATAACGCTGATCGAGCGCGAGCAACAGCCGAAGTTAAAGACAGTACGCAATCGTTCGCCATCACAGATAGTGGATCAGTGTTTCTGCATGAAGACGACAAGGTGCTGAGTAACTCGATAGTGAGAAAAAAGAGCAGGAAAAAAGTATGTCAACTGCCCTTGACAGAACTCCACTTCAACCCCAACTTATACGTGCCAATTAACTTCATCTCCAACAATACGCCCCGCACAGCTGACTTCCCAATAAGAACCCTACGGCCGTACAAGTGACGATTCTCATGCTTTCTCGTCCTGCAGACTGAAAGGCGGGCTTTGAAGGAGGAGTATGGAGGCGGAGTCACTGGAAAAAGGGGCGTCCCAAAAAAAGGGGAACCATATTGCGGCTATGGCGCCCTCTCCGTGTACAGTTTTTATGGCCGCGAAAACGCCACACAAGGTTTATCGTTGCGGACCACAGTACCCTCCCGACGCCATCTTTTCACATTCTATACCTCATCGCGGACCGCGCCCGGAAGAAAGCATTGTACCTTTTCATTGGTGGTAGGAGGTAATGAAAAGGAACACGTTAATGAGTCGGATTGGTGTAGCTGCTCAGCACGATTGTACAGGAGGGGTAATTTGGATCATAACCAAAAGCAACGTAGGGAGCAGTCCGATGGGATTTCCAGTAGGCGTCGGTCAGCTCGCGAATTTACGAAAAGGGAGCTCATCGCAATATTTTCTGAAGAACTAGATGGAGGCGGTGAGGATTTTGCATATTTTTTGATAAGGCTTGTGTCAGTGATTGTATGTGAACATGTGTGACGCCATCGATATTTGGAGCATCGGGAACATTTCCGCCAGTGCGCAGGGAATAGGTGAAGTTTGGCCCACCTTCATGTTTGTATTACTTAGTCTGTTTTAAATCTCAAGCAAATCAGCACCTATTCAGCAATCAGGATTACAGTTAGTCAAATATTATAACGTTAGAGTGCTGATTTGTTCGCATATATCTTTGGTGTGATTTGGTACCTAGTTCTTGGACTGTCCTTCCTAGTTTTTTTTCTCCTTGTTAATATGGTTTCATGCGTTTGTGATTGCGCTTGAAGAATACGATTCAGTGATATTAAATTTCGCGGTATAAATATTCGCTTTGCTTTGGCATTAAAATTCGAATCAGGTCAGGAACCTGGTACAGTGTTGATGTTGAATCGAACAGAATCTTATTATAGTCTTTCTCTCTGAATTTTTCTTGCCTTTTTTTGTTTGCTATTGAGTCTCATCCTGCGTCTCTATCAGGGTTTCGTTATAATCGCCTACTTGCCCCATATTTGCAATATGTCTTTGGTGCTTTGTTTCCTTTCAGAGGTATTCTGCGAAATATTAATTCGGCGATCTATCTCGGCCAATGCTTGTATTCTGTTCTCTTGCTTTAACTTGGAATTTCAACTTATTCCTAATAATTAATTTTCGTCTATGTTCTCAATTAGTATCCGCTTACGCTTGTATATCCCAGAGTAATGCATCTTATTCTCTTGTATATGTGGTGTATGCCACCTCTCCTATTTTCTCCCTTCGCCTTATCCTCTCTCGCCCTTTCTTGCAGTGGAGGTCTCTGTATTCTGCCTCCTCCTTCTCTTCTCTCTCCAACTACTTTCCTTATTTCCCACATTTTCTGCAGTCTTTTTCATCTTAAAAGTATTTTCCGCGATGGTACATCTTAATAGTGGTTGTCATTGATATCCCTTTTTCTCTCAAAGACGGCTAGGTATCTATTACTTCCGCAGGATTATTCCCGCGTTCTCTGGGCATGGCGCATTATTTGTTCTAGTTTCTCTCGAGTGTTAAGGTTGCCTTCTTTTACATTATGGGTTCCCTATTCCAATTGTTCCACATTGTTACTGTTGTCCATATATCGCCTCATCGCACGCCCACTTTTATTCTCGTTCCCTCATCTTAAATTTTGGTACGATCCGTTTCTCTTTGTCGGTTCGTATTTCATTCATTTGTGCTAGGTCAATATTAATGAAGCGTATTAGGGATTGTTTGATTTTGCTGCATTGACAACATGTGCAGCCTGTAATCTTCAGTTAGCGGTGGTTTGCAAGTATCTACTTGGATTATCTCGCTTTCCCGAAATGTGATTTCCAGAGTCTTTTGAACGTATGGCTTTTCTTAGTCCATGATTTTTGGACTCTTTTCACTCCGTTCTTTTAGCCATTTTACTTCCACTATTATTTCATGTAGTCCTTTATCTTAGCATTTTTTAGGCCTTTAATTAGTAGGTAAACCATCTTTTCAACCCGCCTCTAATAACTATGTATATATAGATCAAACTTCCGTTATAATGCAGTCTCTAATTCTTGTGGATAATATTTGTTACTATATTTTTCCCTAATTTACAGCAATATCCAAAATACCTTTTCTACTTTGCCCTATTTCCCTATTGTCCGGTTAAATAGTACGACTCCCCCCCCTCTATATTGTGTTTCACACGATGCTGTATTTTGCCTGCGTAATCCACTTTTTCCGGTCTTCGATAAGCACTATGGAAGATGGGTACTTGGGATCCTCAGATCGTGACTATTATTCATCGCTGGTCACTTGTGAGAGGAGTCTCCTTATCAAAATCATTTTGCCTATCTTTGTATTTATATTTAACTTGTCGCTCGTTGCTCTTCTGTTTTTTATGCGAACTTCTTGTTGCTTTTCCTTTGAATTTTTCTCATAGTTTGTACTTCTGTATATTATATTATATGTCTTCAATTAGTATTTCTAATAGAATCTGTCTTAAGTTCAATCAATCTGTATTGTCATTTTTGTGGTATCGTTAATTTATAGAATGATCTTAATTTTTGTGGAATTCATAATTTGATCTATTATGATACATTCAAAGATTGTTTGAATCCCTACACATTCTGTTTGATATATATATATATTGTATCTGCTCTGAGTGTGTATTAAAGTAAACCGGGATACACTAGAACTTACTCATTTTGGCACTTCTTGAATGGGTTGTGCGAGGAACATTGGTTTGGAGTGTGTTCGAATTATTGCGTTCTTTTTTCTATTCATGTTGTTCTCATATTAAACCTCCTTGCTTAAATAGAGTGTAATAATAATCTGCCTCTATTATTTCATCTTTGTCCGATTAGCCTTCTCACCTCTTCATTATCTCTCCACTTTTATCAGTGTGGCATATTGACTTGAAAAGGTAAATATTGTATAGAAACTCATCTTATGTATGATGTCTAATTATAAATTCTTTATAATCATTTATACATATAGCTCGTGTTTATGCAATTCTATGGTTCATTTCATTCTTCTTTGTTCTATACGTTCTATCATTTTGGACAGGTGCTTACATGTCATTGGTTGGAGATTTTTTGTACGATTTCCGTTTCGACTCTTCTTCTTCCCTTCCTTTCCGTTTTTTTGGGGTTGCTACGACCTCCTCTTCGGGCCCTCTGTCCCTCCTCATTGAACTGTCGAGCGGAGGGGGACCTCCCCCCTCCTGGTCCTGATACGATTTCCTGCTGTTAGACGGGGAGGTTATTCCGCCAACACGATCTGCCGATGATTCGGAGGCTATTCAGCCCTAAAACGGATTATGGATTTGTCGGGCGCGCGAATGGGTGAGCTCTACTAGTGTAGCGAATGGGTGAGCTCTACTAGTGTAAATGTTGGACGTACTGCACACAAATCGGAGGAACACGACAACCGCTCACTCAGACTCAAGCTGAAGGACAATTAGCCAGCCAACCTGCATGAAGCGCGGTAATCTTACGATAGCGCTTGGCAAGCATTAGTTCAAGTACGTAATGGCGACAACTTTGAGATAAGATGCCAATAATCGCGCAGGAGAACGGACACTGCTGCTAGAAGAGCATCAGAGGCGTTCCGGACTTCTGTGGGAGGTCTTCGCATGAACACGGAGAAGACGTCCAACATCTTCCAATGACCTTCTGCTGTTAATACCGTGTCTGTCGAGCTATGAAGTCACCAGGCCAGCCACATGCGCCTCTGTTTTAAGTATAAGAAGACGCTATGATAACGCTATGATGAGTCCTATACGCTTACTGGTTGACATATAGAATAGCGTATTACTCGCCTAAGGTGGCACGGAGCTGAGAGCTTTTCTAGTGGTGCGTGAGCTTGTCAGTTGGGTTACAAATGTGACGACGGAAATGCCCGGGTGCATTAGGCCCTTGATGGGTAGTGCACTCCTTTTGAATTCAGAACACTTTCAGGCATCTGAAGAAGATGATTTGAAAACCAGGCCGAAAAATACATTCTTCCATCTAATACCTTGAAAGGCAAAACGTCACAAACTAGCGTGCAGAGGTTACAAGACGAGAGAAGCTGGAGAATGGTTGAACATGTCACGATGAACTTTTTGTACAAAAATCCTTTTTACGCTTACTCCAAGGTTATTGCTGGTCAAATGTTTTCAGATACACCCCTGACCTTGCGGCACAGGTTCAAAAATTTCGGGCGCAGCTATAGCACAGGCCTGTTACCTGCTAATAGTCGGGAGATGATGTGTCATCTAACACATTAATGATGAAACAACCTGCTTTGTATCGTTTTAGTGGCATTTGAGACAGCTTCACGTGACATGTGACGTTTATGACACGTCATCTACCTCTTAACCGGTAATGCACCGGCAGGGTACAGCATCGTTGTGTGAAACACATAGGGGTGTCGTACTTTTCGGCCATGGAGGGGGGGGGGCATATCTGGTCGTTGTTGGGGGAAGGGGGTCGTATGTGGCTTCGAGATAAATTTGCTGCTTTCGGAAGAAAATTTTCTCTGTTGTTGGATTTTCGCGTGATTGT